TACCTCGGGGAACTGGGTTTCTGGATGCTAAACGAAGATTGATTGTATTGACAAAATTTTTATGCTCAGACATAATGTAGGAAAAAATAGAATCCAATGGGAACGCTTTCATCTGTTGTGTAGACTTCGCGCAAGCACACGAATCACACTAGAAAAGGGAAGATTGGCAGATTTAAATAAAACGTTGACTAATAGAAAATACAAACTATTTTTAAGGCAAAGATTCGGATCGATAACAGGCTCAAAATTGAGTCAAGATTTTGCCAGGCATTTTTTTTCCAAATCTTGGAGAAAACGATAAATCCCAAAACGCGAAGTACGCTGACGATATTTTTTTGTTGGCTGTCTAAATGTCAATACGGTTGAGGCACTCAACAACAAATGCAATAAACTCAGTTTAAAAATTAACGTAAAAAAAACATTTCTAGCGGTAACAGATAAAAGCATGAAAATTTTGACTTATGAAACTTATAAAACCATAAAATCGATATTACAAAAAATTTCCTATGCCTTAGAAGCGAAAGAAGGGCCTTGGCAGGAACCAGATTTTAGAGACAAAGGGAAAAAATTGTATAAAACTGTATTTGAAGATGGTAAGACTAAATCTGCAGGGAAAGATAATACGAGGATTGAGAAACTCTGAAAGAAATAGGTTTGCACAAAAAAATGTTTAGATTGTTTTTTCTTCAAAACCGTAGTGGTGAGATAATCTGATTCAATTAAAAGCAAAACGATTTATCCATAGGATGATTTTACCAATGTTACTTTTCACCAATTTCTTACAATAAATTTCTCTTTTCAACTACGCTTGTGTGTTATCAAAATCCTTTTTACTTCCTACGAGCTAATCAAATTAACAACTTCAATCAGCTTTTTACCATGATAAAGCGGAATACTACTACTACGTTAGCCTCAGCACGTAAAAACTATCATTTCCTCCTTTTCTTCTAAAATCCTTTTAAAATCTGAGACATTTTTCATAAGGTTCCTTATCAAACAAATAACTAAAATATTAACTCCAAATATTTATCTCTATTCATTTATCTCTATTCCAAATTTAAGCGGTTGTGTAAGATCTTTGAAAACAATTCGGAAAATTTTAGATTCAAAATAATCCATTAAATTGTCCAAAATTCAATCAGGTGAATATGATGAATAAAAGCTGAACTAAATCTCTAACCACTAATTAAACAAAGGTTTACAACTTTAAGCAAATAAAATAGAAACAAATAAACAAAAGCAACAAACCGGGTGTGTTTCCATTTATGATAATCTAGATGGCTCTCAGAAACTTCTTTTTTAATGAATTTATAAAAATGCTGCTCATCTTCCTTTTGCGAAAGTTTCTTTAGTTGTTTTTCAGTTTCACTCTACATCAAAAAACTTTTTATTAATTTTCAAATTCAAAGTTTTATTAAAAAAAAATCAACATACTTGAATCACTAATTGGCAACCAAAACTAGGTCTCACAGGTACTGTTAAATTATTTTAAATCATTCAAAAATTAATTAAATCATTTTTACCCAATGTCTTCAACATAAATTAAAATAATTTTTTAGTAATATAAATTTTAAAGTTTACTGTGCTGCTAAATCTATTCTGATCTAGTCCGATTTTTGTAATAAATCTTATTTATTATTAAATTTGATATCAATTGGAAGAAATTAATAAAATTGATGTGTAGCTGTAATTTGCAAGATAGGCTGGTAAGGTTTTTGATAAAAGTTTATTCACAAAACTTTTTTCTTTACACAAAAATTAACAAACAACTCCTTTTTCACTAACAGAAATCAAATTAATTCAATAAATAGTGTGTACAATATATCGAGTTCAAGAGAGTTCAATGTTGCATCTACCACTACATCACGATCATTTAATGATATCACAACCGTTTAAAGACACCTAGTTATCAAATGGCTATCACTGTAATTATTAATTAATTAATTAGCTGCGACGCTAGTACAAAATAGCTATTTCATAATTCAAAAAATCGTAAATTAACATTGTGTGAAAAATTACCATTATTAATAAGGTTGTCCAAAAAAGCATGAGCTGCTTAAAAACAAAGTTAGAATAGTGAAATAATGCAATAACTGATGTACTTACTAATGCAGCCCTACGTTGACATATAACTCAGTTATCTGATTCATTGAAAGAGGTGCATTCTATATTTATGGTGTTTTATCATTCATCAACGTCTTTAGCACGATTCTCAAATTTTATAACTTCTACTTGTTTGGCTAAAGTTTCTGAAAATGAGAAAACTACTTTAGTACGGCTGACTTGCATATGATTTACGTGACCTGTCTATCTCTTTAATTGTTTTTGTGATCAAACCATCCACACTTTCAAGGCCAGCTTTTTCCATAACTTGCAATCTTTTGGTTGTAAAATTGGCTATATAAATACGTCCTACGTAGTTGAGCTTTACACGGAGATTTAAAAGAGGTTTCCAGCAGAAAAAGCGAAGTTATAAATGTGATTTATGTAGTTACTTGAAATTGTTTATTGTTTCTATTACTGTTGGTATTCAAATAAACGTTCAACATAGTTTGCGGTTGAAGCAGTTGTGTTCATCTATCGGAAATCTTGAACTTGCGTAATAACGAACACCTGACGATCGTTGGAAGTTACAACACTAGCGTTGGGATTATAGAGATCTTTGAAGTTACGAGGTCTAGGATTTACAACAATATGTTTGCATTCTAAAATTATACTATTTGTATCACGAATCATTTTAACTGTTGGCAACTGTTGAACGTTGTCCAAATTATACACCGGCAGAAATCTATTGTTCAAAACAGCTTGAACATGTGGCACGTTGGCATTTTGCAATACATTCGGTTTTTGTTCAATTTCCTGAAGTTACCAGTATTTTTTTTGTCGTTTAGTTAATCATTTTAGATTTGCCTTAGGAAAAAATTCGATAATTTTAGTTCATATTTTAGTTTTTATAAGATACTAAAGTTAATACTTTTTCCAAATTATTTATTATATCAAAAAATGAAACAAATTTATTATTAAATTAGCTACATTTTGAAAAATATCTTTTAGAATTTGCTCAATGTGACTATAAGCATCAACTAATTCAAATTTTAATCTTTTATTATATCAAACTTTTCAACGATGTCGTTCAACTAACCATTTATAGATTTTTTTTTTTAAATTTAATTTTACTTATAAAATTATTCAACAATTTTAGCTCACTCCGGAGAAGTTTTCATCAGCATATAAGAATTCAAATGAATTGTTTATGAACTTGTCATTGGTAATTTTAAGACTGCATTGATTTGCAAATTAAAATTTTGCGACTAATATTCTTGATAGGTCCAAAAGTTTTCTCCACTTTGTGGGCAAAATTAGCAATAAATCCATGGTTAAAACATAGTTGTGCTCTACACACATAATGAAAATAATGAAACGTTTAACGTACTATGCGTCGATTCAAATTTAACAGGAAATACTTATTTGCTTTTATATATTCTAACTGTCGTTTGCATAAATCTTCAACTTAGTTTGCGTTAAAAGTAGTTGTGTTCTATCGGAAATCTTGAATCGACGGATAAACGAATTACGGACTATCGTTGGAAACTGCAACACGGTGTTAGAGATTTTGAGAGTATTGAAGCTATTACATCGGTGCTGGTAGTTACGAGGTCGAGGAGGTTACAGCACTGGTATCAGAAGTGGGATCTTCAGAAGATTACAACACTGGTATCAGAAGCAAGATTTATGATAGTTAAAAACCCACTGCAGTAAAGAATGCCATGGCCAGACGAACTCAATTAGTCTTACGAGAGAATCTAAATTATTGACAATTGGTTTTATTCTGTGATATACCTGTCGATTAGCTGTATTCTAACAATTTTAACGATTGAATAAACGATTGATTGGTCACAGCAATACACACAAGTGATTGCCAGCACTGTTTTCTTTCTGATAAAGTTCATCTGAAATAAGTCTGTTCGGGAGTTAGGAATCTACGTAGAGAAAAATAACCGTGCCCTACAAGTTCAAGGGTCGGTTATAACAGTATTTATAATTTAGCATATTGTTTTTTGAAAAAAATAAAGCTTGTCAACGAACAATGAATATAACAATGAACTGCGAAAAAAATTTATGCAAACAACAAAGCTAGGAAGTTTATAAAAAAAGCAGAAATATTATATAAATTTTAATATATCTTTAATAAACATACATAAATTATAAATTATAATCATTAATTAATTTGAAATTAAAAATAGGCAAACCTATCAACTTATTCGGATTGCTAACAAGCTGAACAACCTGTGATCGATTCATTAGAATAGATCTGATCAACTCAATTTTTTCCACGCCAAATAGATCGTAAAACTTGATGTAAAAATTTATGATTAAGTATCAATTACAGCCAAACTTAAATAGTAAACCTACCTCTTTTTCAAGTTCTTCATCAGATTTTTCAGATTTAAGTAAAGACACAATTAGTAATTTCAAATTTGTAGAAGTAATATCCTTATTCAAATGTAACAGCTTGTTTAGTTTGCCTTCAAACTCTTGAACTGTTGTGTCCATCATTTTATCTTTGCGGCATAATTTATTTCTGAAAGAAAAATTACAAACAGACTCCAGATTACTTTTTTGCCACCATGCCAAATCATCTGCTAATCCAGAAAGAGTTGGTATTATAATTTTAATATCTGTCCCAAACTTAAAACATTCATATTGTTTTCCAAATGGGTGAAATTGATTTCGTAGAAATGTAATGTCCTCCAAATCAAGAGAAGAAAATATGCATGAAACACATTTAATTGTTTGTGCAACATCTTCAATAGACAGAGGACCAAAAAAATATTTGAATGCATTGAAAATTTCCTCTGTGATTCTGTTTTCATCCAATTTTAAATAGTGCTTTATAATAAAAAGACATCCATCCTCCAACATTTTAAAAGAACATTCAAAACCAACTGGAATGTATAAAAGTGTTTAAGTTTTTTATTTTGATATCTCACTGCGACCAAATTTTTCTTGAAGCATTTAATTAATTAATTAATCAATCAATAAAAAAAAATTAATTAACAGCAGTGTTTAACTGTTACTATGTAAGCTTCGAGGATGGGCAAACTGCGGCAGGCGGTTCATTTTATGCGGCCCATGAATATGTTTTATAACTAAAAAATATTCATTTTTAAATTTTAAACAAATTATTCTTTACGTCTTTATATTCAAATTAAAATGTTTCTTTAGGAGCCAGTATTTCTGAAATCTGTGTGTAAACATAGTACTTTTGTCATTTTATTACTTTTTTTCTGAGCTTAATTAAAAAAATTTGTTATTTAGTAATTTTTCAACTTCAACTTTAAATAAAACAAGTATCATATATTAATGCAAATGTCAAAATACAAAAAGCTGTGGCTCTTATTGGTATGAAAACCACCACGCTATTAAGAAAGCTAATTTGTCACTCGAATGGCGGACCACTACAAACAGTACAGAATAATACAACAAAAGTATTTTGTGCATTTTTTGTTGGTTTCTCGATTGTTGAATGGGGATTACTTTCGCAGGGACTTCAACAGAAAGAAAATTTTGGCCACGGCAATCAGTACGAACCTACAATGAACATAAACGAATTAATTCTATGTACGTTGCATGTCTCGTTTGTCCTTATAATATCACATAATTTCATTGTTTAAAATACTATATAACCAGCAAAATTATTATAGGAACGTACAGGTTGAATTGTTTCCGATTAGATTTAATATTCGATTCAAAAATTCACTTAAAAATTTAAACAGTAGTGATAACGAAACAACGAAATTTTTCAGATCTCAAACTGTGAAGATAAATGCGGAAACACTTCGATTACTTGCTCGGATAGCTTGGAAAATTCTGCTAAAGACTCAGCGAAAGTTTTCTTTTGTTGTCCTCCTTTGGTCTCCATAAGAGGAAGGAAGAGTGAAAACCTTAAAAAAAATGAACACACTGATAGAGGAAGATCTGGGTCTTTCCTTATATTCATCGGACAAAGAAATAAATGATACGTTTGTTGAGCAGGCCCAAAGCCAAAATAGGAGAAAGAAGCAGACGAACCTGGACCAGGCATAGTCGCAACATAAAAGTATCTAAAACGCGTACTCTTGATGAGAACCATCCTGGTACCTCTTGGGGGCCACCAATAAAACGCATCTAATGATATTCAGAGCAATGGTTTGCTCCGTCATAGACCACGATTGCACAGCATATGACTGCACAAACCAATCCAACAAAAAATATTGGATACAATGCAAAAGCTCTGGTAATTTGCTGCAGATCGGCAAGAGACAAAAGCTGCCGCACTTCAAGTCGATTGAGTGGAACAACCGCATGATCTCCGACAAAAGTACAATGATGGCTGAACTAATCATCAAAATAAAAGCCATCAGTTATTACTGAGAAAAAGTGGACGAGCAAGAAAAGGATGGAAAGATTGATATCCTTTAAGACTCGAGATACCATAAAACCAACAAAAATAGAACATGTCATTTACGGTACATTTTATGCGGCCCATGAATATGTTTTATAACTAAAAAATATTCATTTTTTAATTTTAAACAAATTATTCTTTACGTCTTTATATTCAAATTAAAATGTTTCTTTTGAACGCAAAGACGCAGAGCCGAAAATGCAAAGTCGTTCCCTCGAAATAATAAAAAGATACTCTGACCAATTTCCCATCTTTACAGATGCATCTGCTTCTGCCGACTGAAAGGTAGCCTGCGACTTGAGAGAGCTGGAAGTATTTGTAGTACGAAAGGTTAGGGTTAGCATAACTGGAGCCTAAAGATGGAACATTCAAAAATTGTTGTCTTTAGTGATTCACTAAGTGCCGTAAAAGCCATTAAAAGCGGAAATTGCACTAGTCGCCCAAACCCACTCATAAAACGAGATAAATAATCCGGCCCATTCAGTTAAATACTTAGACGTCGTTTGGATACCCAGACATGTGAATTACAAGAAAACGAGATGGCTAGCAAAATCGTCTCTCACACCAGAAAATTTAATCTGACATTTAATTAGACAGCTTAGCTAAAATTGTGAAGATTAATCAAAAGGTATTTTGGAAACACATAGGCAGTAATAGAAAATACAGATTTTATTTGGATGGTTTGTATCGGGTGGATAAAGATGGTAAGAAGGAATTGTGAATGATCAACAGGAAATGGCAATGTTGGCTGACTTTTTTTCATCAGTTTTTGCGACAGTGATCTGCGTGATGGCTGTTTCGAAACCTGAGCTCATTGGATCAAAAATGAACGAAATAACTTTTGAACCTACAGTTGTCTATGACAAATTAAAAAGTTTGAATGTTAACAAATCGTCAAATCGTCAATCTACATTTTATTTAATTTTATTTGAATGTAAAGGGTCTGTTTGTAATTATTTGTCTACTCTATATGGTATATTATATCAATGGGGAGTCATAACTAGTATATGGAAAAAAAAGTGTTGTAACAGCTATCTATAAAAAGGATAAAAAAAGATGCAAGAAATTATAGACCAGTGGCGTTGACCAGAGTTATTTGTTAACTGATGGAATCGGTTATTAAGGAAGATTTGATGTTGTATTTAACTAATAATGATTTGATTGACCCTAGACAATATGGTTTTGTAAAAGGTAAATCAACGGTAATGCAACTCTTGAAACTTTTGGATGATTGGCCTTAGCATTAGATGATGGCTACAGGATTGATGTTGTGTACACGGATTTTGAGAAGGCTTTTGATAGAGTGTCACATGGTATTTTAATTGAAAAAATGAAAAAGTACAGATTGAATGATAGATTGATTACTTGAGTAAACAGTTATTTAAGTGGAAGAACATTCAGAGTGAGATTGAATGATAAAATGTCTAGATGTTGTACAGTGTTAGGTGGGGTTCCTCAAGGGAGTGTGCTGGGTCCTATATTATTTCTTTTATATGTTAATGATGTGTTCAATTTATATAAAGATGCAAAAGGTCCAGCATTGTATATGTATGCAGATGATGCAAAATTGTAAAGAATTGTTAGCTCAGATGATGATAGAATGGTATTACAAAATGGGTTAATGACTTGACTAGTTGGTGTGCAAAGAGTAAAATTAAATGAAAAAATGTGTGGTAATGAAATATGGGTATAACATACCTGAAAATAATTTTCAATATAAAATTGGTCATCATACATTGGATAATGTCGATAGTATTAAGGACTTAGGTGTAATATTTGATAATTCATTAAAATTTGTTGATCATATTCATAACAATGTTAAAAAAGCATATTCTTTGTTAGGTTTAATAATTAGAAATTTTAAAGGTGTTAATGATCATATTTTTATAATGCTTTATAAATCATTAGTCAGATCTCATCTAGAGTATGCAGCTTGTGTTTGGTCTCCGTGGACAGTACAGGAAACAGAAGTGATAGAAAGGGTCCAGAAAAGAGCAACAAAGTCGATCAAGGCCTGCGAACATATGAAATATGAAGATCGTCTAAAATTTTTGAGCTTGCCAACACTGAAATACAGACGCATTAGAAGGGATCTCATCATGATGTATAACTTGTTTAGAGCTGAAGACCAACGCGACCAGTAATGATGAAAGCTGGTGGACGAACAAGAGGACACAAAATGAAATTGACTGCTCTTCCATTCCATAAGAACTTGAGGAAACAATACTTTATCAATAGATCAATTTATATCTGGAACAATCTGGGTGTTGATGTTGTGAATGCTGATAGTGTGAATGATTTAAAAAAAAAGTTGGATAATTATCTTATGAATGCCAGGTTTATGTATGATTGGAGGGCAAATGATATTTGATGTGACATTGGCTATTTGTGAGATTGGGATATATTTGAATTTTTTATCAATATGTATCGATATTATCGTCAATTTATTGATAAGGATATGTGAATGATTTATTTATATTTGTTTTTTTATTATCATTTTTTTTACAAGGTTTAATACATTATTCGACTTATAAGAACATTAATTATTTTATTCAGTATAGACTCAGGTTTATTTAATTTGTTTTAAAATTGTCTTAGTTTTGAGAAGGCACAGGGACTTTTCATCTTCGTCTTTGTTTAACGTAATAATAATCAAAAAGTATAAATGATATCAAAATATTTATTTGTAAACCGATTGACTCGAATGGCAACAAAGATGGAAAAACAGTCTCAAACTAGCAAAACAGAACCGCTGACTACTTGTCAAATACTCGGCTAAGCAAAAAAAAAGAAAGTTTAATGACTAGAATCGAAAAGCAGAAATGCCGACTAAAGACTCACCTTTACTCTATTTAACGTATAATTTAACAATTAAACGTATATACAGCATGTGTGAAGTATGTTAAAAGTCAGAAACGATCCAACATTTCTTGCTATAATGCCAAAACAGAACAGAACTTGAATTTGGAACTAACAAAGAAAACAAAATCGATTTGTGTGACAAACATATTATCTTCATATCTTTGTATCAATATTATATACAACCGTATCATCAAAAGATGTACATTTCGTAGAAAAAAATAAAAATAAAAACATATCTCGGAAAACTGCAATCAATGTCGTAAAACCGCTATAACAACAAAAGAGTAACATCGGAAAACTGTTTGGCACTAAATTGTCATAGAAATGGTAGTGCCGTAAAACAGCTAAAACAACAAAAAAGTACATCGTACATAGTGATGAAATAAAATCAGGCGAATTACTGGCATCTGAGTACATAATCCCACTGCATATTGCAAGTTTCAATGTTTTCGTCACTGTCAACTTCACGAATATTTTCATATTTTTTATATATTGTTATAATCGCGGGAACGATCGAATTGCTACTGCATTATTTATTATTCAATTATTGTTATTTTTGTAATCATTGGGTTGTAAACTATAGATTGTAAAATTGTATTTATGCTAAAACCGGACTATGAGGTTTCGAGAGGTATTCAGCTGAGGTCACTAGCGAAGAGAAAGTGAAGTCATAAATCTTATTTATATAGTTATTTGGATTAGTTTATTGTTTCTGTTGGTATTCAAATAAACGTTCAACAAAGTTTACGTTTGAAACAGCTGTGTTCATCTATCGGAAATGTTGAACTTACGGATAAACAAACTCTTGGCGATCGTTGGAAGTTACAACACTGGTGTTGGGAATATAGAGATCTTTGAAATTGTTGTTGGTAGACACGAGGTCTAGGATTTACGAAAATGTATAACAATGGATTTTTTAGTTAAATTTTATCCCTCCCAAGAGGTTATGAAATCTGAGACTTAGACTTAATCTGAAGTAAGTTATTCTCTGGGGCGTAACCAAATACAAGAACCTAACCAAACCGAAACCTACCCAAAAACCAAAAATACTAAATAACGCAATTGCATGCCCAGTTGCAATCATTTATTTTATTTCTACTATAAATTTGTTACATTATGTTAGATACATGTATTATATTTGTATGTGTACATGTATAATTTGCAAATATATAGAGTCAGGTAAGTGGATGAATTAATGATTCCCGATTGTTCATGGTGACAGATGACTGATTTATTGAATACTGTCCAAGTAATGCTTTTAAGCAAATACTAAAATCAAGCGACGTCTGGTCACGACGAATTTTATTGGAAATATAAGTTACGTGAAACAGAGGAACAGATTTAGGCAAATATGTTGACGAGTCTGTAGCAAACTGAATTTCTTTTTTCACTCTTTTCTGCTTCAAGGCCTCAGGTATTTCTCAACTTCATACAATTTCTTCCTTTTTCTTTCAATTCTGCAATTATATTTAATCTCTTCCTTTCTTTCACGACTTCAAAAACCTGTTTCTCAACAACACCTGCCTAAAACTTCTCTTTCAAAGATTGACTCCAAGTTAGTTTTAGATTCTTAACCTGACAAGCTTCTCACTGAAACTTCTAAATGACAACTTCGACTGTGCCAGAAGTTCTTCGTTCTACTGACAGACTTAAGCTGTTGAAATTTTTGTAGGCGGTAGTCTACTTGACCACAAAAACGTTCCATTGCTATGTTTGTAACTGGAGAGTATTCTATGGGGCTTGTTGTTCAACAGGATATTTCTCCTCGAAATCCGAAGCAATTCCGTAGTCACGCGTATCTACTTAAGGTGGTATTTAATTCAGGCATTATAAAATTACAGTTTGACGCAATCTTCTTCATACTGGCGCGCAGTTTTCGATAATGTGAAAGTTTGTATCAGAGGAATTAGTTACTTCAGATAAGATTAATTATTTTTATGATCAATATTGAACTCCTGTTATTAGCAGCAGCGTACACATATTCGAACGGGCTTGGAAGGCATGAAAAATGAACACATATATAAGTATTAGGAATGCGACGGTTCCGATCCTGTATATAAAATTTTTAAATTCTAATTTAAGCCAAATAATTTTTTTTAAATGACGTTATGTTATTTGAATGTACTTATCTGAACTTCAACTTGCAATTTCTAACAGGAGTCCATTACCGAAGAAATCAAACGACAGATGAATGATGCAGAGGATGTAGTTCTTTCGATGGACATCTGGACATCAAAGTCAACAGAATCCTACTTTGGGATAACTGCACATTGGTTAACCACATCATACGAAAGGAAAATGTTTGTCTTGAATGTTGCACCAATGCACTCAAGACATACAGCAATTAAAATTTTACAGATTTTTAATGTTGTTCTTGAGCAATGGTGTTTACCCATGCAGAAAATTTTTTTAGTTGTTCGTGATGGTGGCACCAACATGGTCAAGGCAATGAAAGATGCTGATCTACTTAGTATAACATGTTTTGCACATGGTCTTCATCTAATTGTGCAAGAAGGTCTGTTTGCTCAAAAGTCAATATCAGATATGATAACACATTCCAAAAAGCTTGTGGGCCATTTCAAACATTCGCCTTCAGCAAAGAGTAGATTAAAAGAATTACAAAAAGATCTCCAGTTACCTCAACATTGTATTATTCAAGAAGAGCCAACCAGATGGAATACGTGTCTTTCCATGCTGGAACGCCTGCGAGAACAAAAAAGAGCAATAATTGAATATGGCAGTGAGAATGATTTACCGGTGTCATTAACACCAACTGAATGGCAATTAATGGAAAAATGCATCACTGTCCTCTCACCATTTGCTGAAGTTACTAATGCGATAAGCGGTGAAAGTGTTTCAATTTCAATGGTCATTCCGATTATAAAATTGATAGAAACCAAACTACAAGAAAATACATGTGAGGCTGGTGTCCTAACATTAAAAGCAGTTTTATTGGATGAGATGCGAAAAAGATTTAATAATTTTGGTGAAAATAAATTATATGCACTGGCAACAATGTTAGACCCGCGATTTAAGGACAAATTTTTCCTGAAAGAAATTCATAAAGTCACTGCGACAGATAATCTTATTCAAGAATATATGCAACTTGAAACTGATGCTGTTGGGCCTACTGAAATTGAGCAACCAGCAAAAAAAATAAAATTAATGCAAGATGATGGAAGCTTGTGGTCATCCTATAATGTTATTGCTGGTCAATCACACAATTCACAAAATGAAAAAATGGATGGACCAAGGACAACAATTGAAAAATATTTGAAAGAAGCTTTAATTTCCCATGATAAAGATCCATTAATATTTTGGAACCACTGCCGCAATCAGTATCCTCTGTTATCAAAAATAGCCAAAAAATACTTAACGCCACCACCTTGCACTGTGTGCATAGAAAGAATATTCAAGGTCTCATCGGGGATTACAAAAGGTCGCCATCGGTTGTTAATGGATAATGTTGAAATGTTAACATTTTTGAAAGTTAATTTGCCTAGAATAAAACTATCTGATTGATTAGTGAATAATGTAATATTAAACTTCCACTTTATTGATTGTGAAAATTTTTATTTTAATAAATTATAATGAATAATGCTATTTGTTACTGTGTTTAATATAACTAATATTACAATTAACTTGATACAAATACGAATAAAAAATATTTCTTTGGTTCGTCAGAGAAACAGCTTATTTAGTTTTATGACCGCATACAACATGGATCCGGATTCGGATCCGTCCGGATCCATCGTCGAGATCCGGATTTGGATCCGGATCCACGGATCCCAAAATCTTGGATCCATCCCATTCCTAATAAGTATTACACATTTCTGTAAATGTTCTACGCCAGGCTTGTCCAACCAGAATCCAGCCTTCTTAGAAAAATATTCAAGATATAAAATTTAAAGTATTTTTATTGAGTTGGTTAGATGTAAATTTTAAACTTTTAAAAATCATTTTTAATTTAAACTCTTGTATTAATAAAAACATTAATTAATAATAATGCGCTACGACCGCGATTCATTTAAAATAGTTTCCTTGACGACGCAAAGGACAACGTAAATAAAACGTAACTAGCAGACGATATTATGATGTCCGTCGTTAAAAAACGTAAAATTGATTCTGAAAATTGTATTTTTAAAAGTTCATGGGCAGAAAGTTATTTTGTTGTGCAGCAAGCCGATGTTATTTTGCGCCTCATTTGTCAAGAAACAATTGCCGTTCACAAGGAATATAACATCAAGCGACATTACTGCTCTAAACATAGCAGTAAATTTGATAGTGTGGTGGGCCAAACACGAACTGATCGCATCAACTCAATGAAACAGGAAATTGTTGCTCAACAGTCATTGTTTAAAATTGGCAACCAGAGTGCCGAAGCAGCAACAAAAGTTAGCTATTTAATTGCAGAAGCTATAGCCAAGAGAGGAAAACCATTTTCTGATGGAGAACTGGTGAAAAACTGCTTAGAGATATTTACAGATGTTGTTTGCCCAACAAAAAAGTCTTTGGTGGAAAACGTGAGTCTTTCTCATCTTTCTCAGTGACACTGCAACTCAACTAGCAATATTTGTAAGAGGAGTTACGAAAACGTTTGATATATTATAGTTGAGGAACTGTTGGACATGTGCCCAATGAAGAGCATAACAACTGGAAAGGATATTTTTGAACAAGTTATTCTGGCAATGGAAAAATTCCAGCTTTTCAAAAACAAACTTGCTGGTGTAACAACAGATGGGACGCAAAGTATGATAGGAAAGAAGAGTGGATTTGTAACCTGTTTAGCACAATCAGTGCCTCAGGATATCATTACATACCACTGTATTATTCAACTTGTGTGCCAAGACCCTTGACATGAAGCATGTAATGGAAAAGATTGTCAGCCGTTAACTTTATCAGATCTAGAGGTCTTAACCACAGTGAATTCAAATAATTTCTTGAAGAAGTGGGCTCAGATTATGATGATGTTGAATACTTTTGCCAAGTTCGGTGGCTAAGTAAGTCAACCACGCTATCCAGATTCTGGAGTTCACGTCATGAAATAAAGACATTCATGGTTAACAAAGAAAAGGAGATAGCGTTTTTGGATGACAACTTCTGGTTGAATGATTTGGCATTTTTGATTGATATGACAAAATGTATGGCTGAATTGAATGTTAGACTTCAAGGAAAGTACCAGCTTGTGCACAGATTGTATGAACACATTGTTACTTTTATTGAAAAGTTAAAGTTAGTTCAGAAACAGATGGTTCAGAAAAAAGTAACACATTGTGCAATTCTTTCCACAAGACCTGTGAACACAGTGCTGCATGAAAAGTACAATGAACTACTTGTCAAACTGATCGATGATTTCCAGCAAAGGTTCCAGGATTTTAAAAAGCACAATGACTTTATGAAATTGCTAAGTAACCCATTTAATGTTGACCCCACTGATGCTGCTGACAAATACCAAATGGAGCTAATTGATCTTCAGAATAACAGTGATTTGAAGAGATCTCTTGTGGAACATGATTTGCTAACTTTCTACAAGTGTTACATATCGTCAGAAAGTTATCCTAATTTGACAGAAGATGCCAAGAAGTTTATCGCTTTGTTTGGTAGTACTTATTGCTGTAAAAAACTGTTTTCAAGAATGAAAAATACAAAGATGAAGTCAAGATTTTTACTTAAAGATGGACGTTTGACAGCCTCATTGCGTGTAGCGACTTCAAATGTTGGAGCAGATATAGGGTACTTATATAAACGCAAACAATGTCAAATTTCTCACTAAAATTAGACATTAATGTATTTACATATATACTTTTATTTTGTAATAAAAAAATATATATCCATTATTGTGTGTTACACTTTTATTTATTGTTAATAATGCAAAATTGGCTATCAAATTTTTAATCCGGCCCGCGACTTCTAGCTAAATTGTCAATCTGGCCCTCTGAACAAAAAGGTTGGACAACACTGTTCTACGCCATTTATCAACAAACCTTAACCAAATGGGCAAAAACATTTAGCCTAATTTTTTTAATGAAAACCTCGTTCCGATATATATATATATTAATACGTGAATAATAATTGTTTTCAAGAATGAAAAATACAAAAATTGAATAATTAATATATATTAATACGTGAATAATAATTGTCTATATATATATATATATGTATATATATATATGTTGGAAGGAGACCATCTTTTATACAGTATTGTATGAATTCTACCGAATTGTTGGCATTAATCAATTTAAATTTTCCTTATTAGAATTTTCTGGAAATCGTTCAATTTATTGAAAATAGAATTATCCAAGTTCATCAAGAAAATTTAATGAAACTGTTCTAATCAAAATTTATCTTGCAGATAAGGCCTTATTTCGATTTTTCATAAATCATCTTCAGTGCACTTGCACTTTCAACTGATGAATGGAATAAAAAAGTCCGACCCATAACGGATGAAGACTATAAACGAGGATTGATATATATATATATATATATAAATATATATATATATATTGTTTACACATATATCAAGGTCAATCTAACAAATTTGTGAAAAAGAATCGCTATACTTGTTGAAAAGTGAATTTAAGTTGAAGTAAAAAATCAGTTTTTAACCGGATGTTTAGCGATTATCGTCCTAGTTGCTTTTTTTTTATCAATTAATTGACATTTAATTAAAATTGTCTAAAGTTTAACAATAAAATACGTTGGGAAGCCAAAAGTTTTTTCTGCTTGCATCAATCCACAGCAACTAATACGAAATAGCAATGTCACATTGTTTCAATATCTAGGGGATGTTCTGGGTTGTACTGGAACAGCTGAGCACGCATACGTGCATCCTGGAATAAATAGCATCTCCTTTGGCATCTCCTTGCCTCTATATTGATGCGGCTTGACATCCCACTACCACTACGATCAAGACTTTATAAATCTGTGATACGTCCGGTGTTGTTATATAGTGCAGAAACATGGCCAATGACAACCAAACTGGAAAAACAACTTTCACGAACCGACATGAAAATGCTCGGATGGATGGAAGCAACGAATTAGTCTGAAAGACCACATCAAATCTAATGATCTAATCTGGTTTTGATGATATAAAGGACGAATGCAGGCAACACCGTCTGCGGTGGTTTGGTCATGTCAACCGAGCAAGACATGAAAACTCTAAATTTAAATAAAATACAACTAATCGTCTAATTTGGTGCAAAAAATTGATGGCAAAGAAAACAACGTCCTACCTCCGGGAACTGAGTCTCTGGACGCTAAACGAAGATTAATTGATTGGGAAGCCAAAATTGAAAGTCTCAAGGCAATCTGATACTTAATAAGTAGCGTGCATGATGCTTTAATAACTATATATGATACTGATACCAAAACTCCTGATATTGCACACGAAGCACTTACATTAGCAGAACAATTAAAAGATTAAAGTTTTCTAATATCTTTAAGTGCATGGTACAATGTACTGTTTCAAATAAACATTGTTAGTAATGCGATGCAGGCCAAGGACATAGATCTGGTACAGTACACTGAAATGCTTAAAAATGTATTAAGTACAGTCATACTCCTCACCAACGACCTCCCCATTTAGGACTCTCTCTCATCCCCGGCCGTTTTACAAACAAAACTTCTAGATTCTTTATATTTATGCAAAGCGCCTCGTATCTTATTTGATTTCGCAAATTGAATTTTAATTTGATAAAATACGACGGCTTTGAATTCCCAGAAAAAAAAACGAAAAAATATTAATATTAGAAGAAAAAACAAAAGTGATAAGAAGGAGTGACAGCGGAGAAACTGCAATCTCAATTGTAAAATCATAAATGAAGTCAAGCTCCTCAATGGCATGACTTTAGAAGAGTTTGCTGCAGTAGATAACAAAATCCCAACCTGTGCTGAAACAGAAGAAGATAACTTGGATATTCAGTCACAGCCTGAAGATCCACAAAAAATGGAACTGATGAAATAATTGAACCAGTGATTTCTTTTACCGCTGCTGCTAAAAGTATTCAACAGTTGATTCATTTTGCACTGACTCATGGATTTCAAGACATTCCAAAACTTTTCAAAAATTTTCATGGTCAAATTCAAAAAAGACATCTTAAAAAGAAGTCAACATCTGTTCAACCTCCACTTCATTTTTTTCCAAAATAAATTAAATTTTTGAGTTCAACAATAAAACATGGTTTTTCCAAATTATATGTTGTATGAATATAATACAATGCAGTGTACATTTACTAATAAAAAATGATGCACAAATCTTGTGTACCTTTTTTATTTGGTTGTAAATATGCTTTCTCCCCATTTAAGACACCTACTTTTAAGACCTGATTTCTATGACATTACCAAGACACCTCCTTTTTAAGACCTGATTTCTATGACATTATCAAAGTCGTTAATAGATAGTACCACTGTATATAAAAAATCACAGAATATTTGGCTTTAAACAAGCGATGGTTGATGCTAAAAAACTAGCCAAACTTAAAATTTGAGTCTATATTTAAACCAATCAAGAGGGTGTGACAAGTGAAATGTCATTTCGATGAAAATGGTCCTGACAAACCAATCCAGAGAAGAAACTTGAAGTGAAATTTTTGGACCCCTTATTAGACACGTGTCTATCATCAATTAAAGAACGATTTGAACAACTGGATGAATATGTAAATATATGGGTTTTTTTTATTTAATTTGGATAATTTGCTCATCAAGTATGAACCTTTGGAATTGTGTAAAGAATTGCAAGAAAAATTAACTGCTTGTTCAAAATCTGATATTGTTGGTGCTTTGCTATTTGAAAAACTATTAAGTCTTCAGTTTTTATTAAAGATAAAATAGGTGAAGTGGAAGTTGAAAAAGTAGAAAAAATGACACCATTCATTGTATTGAATTTTATTAAGAAATATTTTTTACAAAAGTTATATCCAAATGCATGGATAGTTCTGCATATTCTTCTTATAATATAACACCTGTAACTGTTGCAACTCTTTGGCCAAGTTATCAATCAAGCAAGAAATAGCGAAAAATTTAGATTTTTCAAATCTGATAAAAAATTTTATTGACCGAAAAGCTAAAAGACTTAATGACTTTAATCAATGTTTGGAAAAACTTTACATTAATGCCTGAATGCAAACGAAATTCGAGAGAGTGATGTAAATGAAGGGTATTGAATATGAAGTAAATAGGTATAAAGGTTAATTTATATTAATAACGTTAAATAAATTAAAATTTTTTTCAAAGTTCAAGATGAAAATTGTTCTGTTTAACTTTTTTTATTAGATAAATATATAAAATGAATTAGAACATTTTATTTCAAAAATATAATGTTTAGACATAACTTTTTAAAATTGATTGGCTTATTTAATTGATTACATAATGATATTCTAAAATTTAAATTCAAACTTTAACAATTTCTAAAAAAAATGTTTTTAAAAATATAGCGTCCAAAATAATTTTATCAAACAAAAATTTAATTTTTAAAATATTTGAACTTTCATCTTCAAAAGATCTATATTGCAACTTCCAAGTCATTTGATTTGGCACTTTACCTCGAGTTATT